ACAATGAGCCAAAAACCCATACCGTATAGTCAGATAGAAAAAGCTCCGACATGACAAAACGTTAAAGAATTCAAACAAAAAAAATCAACAGCCTGATTTGAGACAAAACAGTAAACAAAACAAAAAATCATATAGAATGTGAAGAGTAAAACATGCGTGTGATCGCTCTACCCTCCCATCACCTAGAACAGTGGTGTAACAGCACAACATAATAATAAACTGTAAACATTAGTTGGAAATGGCTCGACACGAAGCACAAAAACACCTAACATAAAGATAAAAGACACGATCTAATAGAACTGCAGTCCAAAGCCAACAACTACTACTTAATAAATAAATTTCTCCCAGACAGGGTATCAATCAGTTCACATCCAACTGCTTTGGTGTGAAGACGTCATAAACAGTCTGAGAAAAGCATGACCGTGTGCAATGCCAAAATACAAGTACATAATATCGACATGGTGTTGGACCAATTGTAAAATGCATTGATCCTTTAATTGTACAGCTCCGTATATGAGGATGGTAGATGATGTTCAAACCAATGTCATTTAATGTCATTTACTGTGGATTGTAAAATGCATTGATCCTTTAATTATACAGATCCGTATATGAGGATGATAGATGATGTTCAAACCAATGTCATTTACTGTGGAATGTAAAACGCATTGATCCTTTAATTATACAGCTCCGTATATGAGGATGATTGATGATGTTCAAACCAGTGTCATTTACTGTGGATTGTAAAATGCATTGATCCTTTAATTATACAGCTCCGTATATGGGGATGGTAGATTATGTTCAAACCAATGTCATTTACTGTGGATTGAGGATAATTTCATTTGGCAAAATGTTCGGTACTTTATTCAAGAGATTTTTTTGTGACTGCCCATTTAATTCTTTTACCTCCTTTGGCTTTTGGTTGAAATTTATAGAATTATATTTAATTTACGAATAATCAAGTCTTATTCTGTTTTGGTATCCTTGAAAACATCCTTTGCCGAATATTTACAAATATTTTGTTTTATATTAGACTGTTTACGTAAAAGATGAAATCGTCAGATTTTAAAAAGATTTTAACGGTATTGTTAAGTAAATAGTTGAGATAGAAGTAATTGACTCCACAACGTCCAGGGTATATCCATATAAGCGGACAATTTATAAATGATGAAGTGTTGTATCTGCACTTTTCACGAATACTTGTAATGTAACATAGCAATTATACTTCGATTAAGTTACCTTGACCATAAACCTTAACCTGAAGCGGGACAGACGGACGGACAGACGCACAGACCGAAGAACATAATGCACCTAGGTGGGGCATAAAAAGGTCGAAAATCGAAAAAGTCGACAATTCTCATTTGTTCACGATGAGAACGCAAATGTCTTGAAAATGTCTGCTATATGAGAACAAGTTGTTGATGAGACAAATGAATTTAAATCTTTGCATTTTAATTTTTAGGGCATGTATACTTCTTTTGAAATGGCTGTCAAAACAAAATCAATATGGATGCTATGTAAATTAGCAAAATACTCAAAACTCTGCCATTTCAGTTGTATTTCCGTAATTTTGAATACCAGACTATTGGAAATGTGCATTTCGTTGAACTCTTAAATTATGAGGTCACCTATACCCAAGAAAACCACGAATAATAATGAATCCGCTTTTCCTCTGCTTTGGGGTGGCCGGACCGGCGTGACATCCGCTATTGATTGCAATTGCAATTTTAGTTCTTCTTGTTGTTTCCTGTCTAAATATCTTCCTTTTTCCTAAACTGTAATTAAGAGCTGTTAAATACTATGGTTTCCATTAATTGTATTGATCCAGCTCCTTTCTTGAACAAAGCTGCTCCATTTGCAGTTGTTCAATCGTGCAAGACTTGTTGCAGGTAAAATAATCTTTGAAATATGTGATTTTTAGATCCTCAGCAGTTTCCTTTAATATTCTACATGATATTTTGTCTGGGCATAAAACACCGGATATGTTTTAATCCGACATCGTTTAAGAATCGATATATAGAAGAATGCTTATGCTGTTGTTGTTTTTTTTTATTAACTTTCAATAGAACAAGGCCTCAAACAAGCTTCACTTTAAATGAGAAGAAAGAATTTTGAAACTCTTCTGATGCAGTTCGGCAAATAATGATAGCTCATATTTATTATACATGCAACAATGGTGGATTGAGTATTCAGTGGTTTTGATTGTGATGGGAAGACGAACACACGCTTTCATAGGAAGTACATATTCATGTAGAATATTAATAACATTGCAGAGCAGCCGTAGTTTGATCTATTTATAGTCAAAGTTTCTCTTATAACTCATATCTTAGTGAGTGCTTACGCCTCATATATCACAGTGAACTTGATATCTTGATCTTTTTATCAATATTGACACAGAAGGACGACTTCAAACTAGAATCTATGACAAACCTGAAGATTTCAACTTTCCAATTGTCAACTTTCCAATTTACATATCTCCATTGATGCGTACGCTCGTGCATGTTCACACAAAACGTAGTGCCTCTTACATAAAAACTACCCCAAAAGAGTTTTGAGGAAGAACAACTGAAATCGACACTACATACGAATTGGTTGCTCGATATGATGTCTGTGTCTCCAATCACAAGCGACAAGTTTTCACAGTTTTAGATCTTTGGATACCAGAAAAGTCGTCTGATTTCTCGATTGTGATATTTAACTGAGTGTGGATTCGCATTGCGGGCGATGCATGCACAGCAGGATACCCTTATCCAGTCGACGCACCCGGTCTCGTTTCTTCTGGGATTCATGCTAATCCCACTGTTTCGTATGTAACCTTGGTTTGTTTTCTTAATTGATTTATACATCGGTAAATTACTGTTGCTTCATTTTACTATGCTTACTGTGTCAACTTTATTTATCTCCCTTTAATTGAGTGTATACGAGTGCTATGCGTGTCTATTTGAACCCCGACTTAAATTTGATGTGAATTTGGTATATTGCCTTCTAATTTGTTGCTTGAAGAACGTTCTCCATTAAAATCTATTTCTGATCTATATAGAAATCCCGTAGATGAGTATCAACTTGTTCTATCCCAAATCGCTGAGTTTTAAATTTACACATCAGCTTCCCATTGCTTCGATTCCGTTCAGTTCCATATGTTTTATCTTTTTTATTTCTTTATTCTAAATTTTTGTTTTTTGTTTAGAAATCTAATGTACATCATTTATTCCACTTAATGGTTATTCTTTTAAAGTGGATTTTGATAAATCAAATTGATTTCTTTCATATCGTTATGTAGTTGCAAAACAAAACGGTTGCCACATGTGAAGAAGGATCTGCTTCCCGTTACACAATACCTGAGATCGCCACTAGTTTTGTTTAAAAGGGGTTGATGTTGCTTTTGTTTAAGTTTTCAGTGTAGTTCTTTGTTGTTTTTTATTTGTAAATGTCTATGTTGTTTCTATCGGTAATAACGTTAATGATATTAATTTCACTGTAAGTCTTGTCTATCTCTTTGTCAGGAAAAAAACGTGTTTCAATTTTAAAATTTCTCATTCGATCAAGTTTTAGGATTAGAATTTACATAGTCAATGGTTTAAAAATTCGATGATCTATTACGGTTAGATAGGCCGGGTTCACTTGATACTCTAGAGTCCACTACTTTCAAGAGTATCACGTGAACGCACTCGAGTTGCTATTCGGAACAACTCTAAGTAACTCTAGAGTAAGGCCCTGATTAAGCATAAAAAAGGAAAAAATCTGATTGGTTTGACGTCATTCAAGGGTTTTTTAGAGTTTAACCCTGGCTCAGTGAGGGCTGGAACCGGGGTAAGAGGGGTTAACTCGAGAGGTTCGAGTAAACTCGGATTGTTGAAACCCGAGTTAATAAAGTTAACTCTAGAGTTTCAAGTGAACTCGGCCATAGAGAAGTCAATTACTAATCCGCTATTTGTGATGCCTGATCACTTGATATAACCTATCAACATATTTTATAGGTGTTACACGACGAATGTCACTTCTGGAGCAGTATCTGTTTTGCTAATCCTTCCAGAGAACCTGAGATCACCCAAGGTTTTTGATGGGGTCGTGTTACTCAGTCTTTTTTTTTAATGTATTGTTTTGAGGACTTGTCTTTTCCTCGTTTTTTTTCGTTTTTTATCATGTCCTTGTCTGTCGACTAATGAGTTGTTAAAGCCCCCTTGGTTTCGCTCACCTCTTTATAGCTAATGCTATGATGTTGGTCGTTCTTAGACTTAAAAGAGACCACACAACACTCAGGAGGACAATTATTCAGTCTGTTGTTTTATAGATGGACATCTCGGCTCGACGAAGTTGTAGGTGTGCCTCAGATATGATTAGTCCGACGACAGCGTCAGCATGTTGTTCAAGTTTGTGAATTGGTCAGTTTGAATAAGTCAATGATATTTGGTATGCCGTTGTATTAGTACTTGCACATCTGATTTCCATGGAATTTATTTAGCCCGCTCCCCTCATTTATGGTCTATTGACTTTCGAACTTTTGCACAGTTGACAAGAAAGCATGTGATAAGGGCAGCTTAAGAGACATCACTTAATGATAAGTCAATGATATTTGGTATACAGTTGTAAAAGCATTGACATGTATTTCATTTCCATTGAATTCATGTTGTTTTTCCATTTGCATGTTAAAGTGTTGCCATTTAATTTCAACATTTGCATTTTACTATCAAAACTACATAAAGACAAGACATATCTCTGGGTCAACCCACCATTATTTCTTAAAATATCCCATACAAAGTCAGGAATATGGCAGTTAATTGTTATCAAATAGTTCGTTTCTATGTATGCTGGCGTTTGTTTTTGTTGCACTTCAGTGTTCCTGTTGTTCCTTTGTTTTCCTCTTATAGTTGATGTGTTTCCCTCGGTTTTAGTTTGTAACCAGGATTTGTTTTCTCTCAATCGATTTATGACTTTTGAACACCGGTATACTACTGTTGCCTTTATTCAACAATGTATTATAAAATGTAATAGAAGATAGAAGATTTAAATAAAATAGTCTGTTTAATTAATAAACCATTTTACATTAAATAAAATATATAATACTATATCTTTTGACCCATTCCGTCAAAAGTAAATAAAAATAACTATATATTTCAATAACTCAGGGAATGTCAGAAAAACGAGGTTTTTGCACAATTTGAAAAAAGGATTGCACTTTAGATTATACATTTTTATTTCCGTTATACATATAAACTAAAAACGGAAAATACTTTACAAATCAAAGTAGGACTTCTATGTAACTTCATATAAATTCCAAACGGGGAAGTCTTACGATTTCTGCAAAATACATACATATATACAAATATTTGAAAACTACTTTTTTATGTTTACACAGTTTAATTTTTTCACTGAGTGTAATATTTCTTTTAAAAGACGATAAAACAATTAAACTTTATTCTGTAAACCAGCAAATGAAGTAGAATTGTTATTTTCAGGAATCATTTACTGGCGGGAATTGGTCATTCAAGTCAATAAAAAATAGAAATTTTATCAAATGGTTACAGAGCATTAACATTATTCGCAGTCAATCACAATTTCTGCATTTCAATACTTTGAAGAGACCATCAATCCCTTTTATGTCTGTACTAGTAAAATATACTATGATTCGTTAATTTGCACATATCAATAAAAACAGTTATTGTTTTGTTATGAATCTATTCATGTCTGATGAAACCATATAAGGGAGAGAGAACCATACATAACTTTAAAACACACATGTTACAAAAGACATTGATTGCAATAGCCAAAATCTGTTTTAGTGCAAATTCACACAAATGGGATATACTGAAAATGAACAGATCCAAATTGGTCTAGGATCCTCTCGCTTATTACTTGATGCAGAAAAAAGAAAATTTCAGACAAACAAGACATATGTTCGATAGACTTATTTTGACCGCGCATATGGCAAAACGCCAGCATCCACCATACTATAAAGAAAACTTGAGAAAAAGACATGTTCTATAAATTACCTTATTATAAGAACAATTGGTTTGTCATTCATGTATATATCAAACTGAACGATAATAATATAGACACACAAGATTTATATACATTTGTTTTTAAATTGTAGTAGAAAAATATCACAAATTTCAGGAAACTGTTATTTATGTTAATTTCAAAAGATCAATCACATTTACAAATTATATATTATCAGCAAAAGAGAATAATAGCATTTACATTAATGAAATAAACTTAAACATATGCTGATATAATGTAAACAAATCACAAATTAGCACCTGGATTAAGGTAAACGTGACTATAAATATTCATCAATGAAAGTGAACTGACCTAATTTATGAAAATAATTATATCCTACATAGGAATGAAATTATTGCACATGTCGTCTGTAAGTGTGTATCAGAAGTAAACTGTAATTTCTGGTTTTTCTTTCGATGATTTCTGTCCCAATCTACTTTCTAACACACTCTGTAAGGTAAAACTGATGTTTGAATAAAAATAAAAGATAATTCTAAAACGTCCATGTTTATATACTTTTTGTCTTTCAGAATTTGCCTTTGTGTCGCAAAAACAAAGCACACTGTAAAAATTGAGTTGTACCTGGTCGAATTCATTTTAATAATCTACATTCGTTATTTGTGTATGTGTATGTATTTTTCGTGTTTTCGAAAAAAAGAAAACAAATCAAAATAAGCTGCCATACTAATCAAAATCATCTTCAGAACAGGTCAAACATGGTTTTGTTCATGCTTTGTCTACAAGAATGAAAATAACACTTTTTTAAATTCCGTAAGTCCAAAGCACTTTTCTGGATTTACCTTTATCACAAACGCTCCAATTTGTGATTTTGTAAACTTCACGAATGTTTTTTTTTGTATAGAAAAAATTATTATTTGCCTATCCAATGCTCGTTAAAGGTATATGAACAGTGTTCAAAAACCTTAATAAAGAACACTTACGTCCGACATATACGACGGTATTCTGTTTGTGTTTCCTATTTTATCTGACCCATTCGCTAATGCCTGTTTCTTCAGGTTTTTCATAAGTCCTTTGTTACTGTCCCCAGTACTGTCGCTTGCGTAACTATTATCACTACTATTGCATTCCTCGTGACCACCACCGAATGTTTTCATTCGTCCACTTCCTCTGAAATAGTCTTCTCTTTCAAAGGGAACAACCGCAGTGTCAATATGTATCTCTTCATCGCCAGCATCCAGATCCACGTCACCATTTAAGTTTGGATAACCATATCGATAACGACTATCTGACAGTGGATTGTCTTGAATAGTAGTTGATCCATCTATTTCAGAAGTTTCTTCCAGGTCACCGTTAAACTTTAAATCAAAATGTGAAGGAACTGGTGAAGGATCTCCTGGTCTATATGTCAAACCACGTGGATTCATTCCTCGTTGATGTTTCACTCTGTCTAGTTGTTCAGCAGCATATAAACGTCTGTAAGAAAATCAGTTATTTAATTTATAGGTAGATTGATTTCCAAAGACCAGATATATCATGAAACTTCTATTTTGGGATTTTTTTTTGTATTTTGTAGAAGATCAATGGTGAGTATAATGAATCGCTGAATTCTCCTTTTGTATGATTATGCTTGTGTATAAATCAAATCTTGAACAAATGCTTACGACTTAAAAAATTAAAACTGTTAAAAAATATAAGTGACCTTATGAAAACCCGATGTTGAGTAAACTGAATAAGGCAGCAACCAAACAAAGCCAGTTAAAGGGACAAGGAACAGGCCCGCATCATATTGCAATTTAAGTTTCTAAATATATTGTAAAAATCTATTTAAACAAACTTTAAAAAGTAGGGTTTTTGTTTTGACACTTGTGTTTGAGATTTTTGTATTTTACTGAAAAATAAACGTCAGAATAAAGGTTACGACAAATGGAACATATGATTGGTCATCTGATATTCCAAAACGAATGGCACATAGTGATGGCGTTCATCATTGTGTAGACACAAACTGCTGTAAGGGAAGTACAGTTTGTCCCCATCAGAACAACTCAAACTTGACCATATATTTTCTGGCAAAAAGAACAAGTATCTAAACCAATTACATAACAATGTAATTAATCATTAAATGGTATTCGAATTTAGTATTGCAATGCAAGTTTTATTACCAAATAGAAATAATTAAGACTGCAAAAGATAGATTGATATTTATATTTATCAAACAACGTTTATGTGAAGAATTAAAATAAGATTATTTGATATTGTCGTGTCTAAGAGTAAAGAGATAAGAACTAATAGTGGCAACAAACAAGCCCTTAAAAGAACATACTATCAAGTTTTCCAAGAATTTCAAAGAATTTGTACTCCAAAATATAATAATGCAACTAATAGCAGATTAACTTGTGTATTTTCAAACTCAAAATACTTCAACAAATTTCTAGGCTTTCGTTTCGAGTATACTTATATTATATAAAGAGATAAGTTTAGCGGAAGTGTCTGGAAAAATCAATTATTAAGAATTCAATGGAAGTTGAATTATACAATCAATTACATGGCTAGTTTAAATCATGAGCTGAATAATGATTTCAGGATTTTTACAGCTAAATGTCAGAATAATAACATTTTCAATTATGAAATTTTTTTTTCTAATAATGATGTATAAGTCATGAAATGTAGATAAGTATGTGCCTTTTTTTTTTTTTTTTTAGATAAAAGCATTTGAGGAGGGGAAAATTGGCTGGACAAGGGTATCTTTGGATTTTTTGGTATGAAATAAACAAAAAATAAATATCAAACTGAGTTAAAAGTATAGAAAACAAAACATATATTTAAATTTCTTTTCAGGAGAGTTTTCGAAATGTTTATTTCAAAATATATTGGTGACTACGGCTAGAGGGAATGCAACCTATAAATGAAAAATATGAGAAGTAAATACATCCATTGCATGGTCTGTAAAGATACAATTGTAGATATGATATGTAACACCAACTTACCTTCTAATAATGTATACAATTAGTATTATTACTATTATAAATAGAACAGCCGCTGCAACACCTAAACCTATTGCTAAAATATCACTGCTCTCAGTCATAATTGCCGCCTTTGCTACTGGTCGTGAAGATGCAGGAAAATTTACAATTACCAGGGCGATACTTTCACGAACAGGTGCTCCATTATCTTTCACAGATATAGTCAAAATATATTTGTCTTCGATTAACTCCTCTGGTAAACCAGTTATAGAAACTTGTCCAATCACGTCGACAGCAAATAAACTAAAAACAATTAAGTAATGTTTTAATTGAGAAAACGAAATTATCCACCTGCTGAAGATGTTCGACATAACAAGACCTGACACACTAGAATGTATCGTCTGCGTAGTTGATTATGAAATAAGAATAAATGAAGTAACATCTACAGTAAGGATAAATTAAAGGTAAACTTTTAAAAGGGGAAATAATACATTTATTATAAAAAAAAAGTAATAATCTGTTATCACCGATGCTGTTTTATTGGTCAAAATAACCAGTTAAATTCCGTGTGGACTCGCGAGAACATGCATCAATATGAACTCGATATTCAATGAAGGACAAAAAATGTGAAAAAGTCAATAAATGACATATTGAAAAACGATAAACAAACTCAATTTCAAACTATCTTACCTTATATGACTTAACAACTGGAATATAAACTGAGAATTGTTGTCTTTATCTGTAACCTACAATATAATTGTCCATTCGATTTGTCCAACTCATTAATTAATTCCAAATGCAGATTCATGAATCGTGTGTATTGCAATTTATCGCTTATCGCAACTATGCATAAATTTTCCAATCATATAATACAATGAATTACCAAGGTAAAAATTAATTATGCTAAATTATGCAGATATCTCGTTCATTATTTCTCCAAACAAGGTTTGTATTTACGATTTGAAATACAAAATGTATATAATGACTACAAAAATAAATGAATACAATCTTCTTAATTAACAAACAATCATTTTAAGTTGCCATCCAAACTGCTACAGTACGTATATAATTTGTTCAGTGAGATATTTGAAAGAACCCTACAATACAAAGTGATCTACAAATACCTCAATAATAGTTAAAACAGTCCCTTTTACACGTTCTGCAGACAAACTTATAGTTGGTGTTCCGATAACAGGGCTGTTATCGTTGACATCCGCCACATAAACGTTGACTGTTGTAATGGCTGTCTGTAAATGAATTAAACATTTTGCACCATAAAGAAGGAATAAAGCAAAAAAAATCTAATTTTATATTGCATTTGTCGTAGCAACAATCCCGTCCGCTTTTCCTAAATTGTGAATATACATCGCCGAACTTTGTACTTACCATGGACAAAAAGGCGGGTGTTACATTGGGGTAGGATCTGCTTACCCTTTCGAATCAATCGAGATCATACTGGTTTTTGGTTGGGTTTGTGTTGCTAAGTATCTTTGTTTTCCATTTAGTGTTTTGTAGACTGTTGCGTTTTTCGGCATTTTCGCTTTTTTCATGGTATAGTCGGTTTTTGTTTTACTTAATATTTTTTATTGGCTCCTTGGCATCTTCTGTCTCTTTATAAAAATTTTAACGATTTGTATTCATATTTACACATACTCTATTTAATATATACAGATATATACATAATACTGTCCAATGTATTGAGACATTTTTGGTTTGTAAGATTTAATGATACATACAATCGCTATGAACAGTAAAGTTATCAGTCCCATAAATAATGTGTACACCTTATACTTACATCGTATCCATCAGTAACAGTAACAGTGATCGTATAGTACTGGTTATGCTCATAGTCCAAAGCTTTTCCGAGTATAATGTCGCCACTACAAACATACAATCTAGAATTAGTGACAATAAGTAAAACTGCAAGTTTTTTTTTGTATAAAAACCATTCTATTTTCTTAACTAAGAATACATAGGTATTTACTACTAAGAAATATAATCGCGTAATCCCTAAATTATAATACCACAGATTGGTGAGTTGACGAAATGTGTTCTGTTAGTTTCCTCTCTAAGAGGGTGTCTACACGTATTTGTACATAACATAAGGATTGAAACGTGCGCCTGGCGTACTAACTTATAAGTCTCTAAGAGGGTGTCTACACGTATTTGTACATAACATAAGGATTGAAACGCGCGCCTGGCGCACTAACTTATAAGTCTGGTATCTTTGATTAGTCGTTGCATTCTGTAACCATGAGTTAAACGGAGATTCTCTATGAGATTAGAGTAACAAATGCTTCCTTAGAAATTGCTAATACATATAAGCGCCACTTGCCGGTTGACGATAGATTCATCTAGTTCAGGTGTGGGATTGTTAATGTTTTGAAAATAAATAAAATCCGAACCTTGATTGTATGATGAAAACATTCTGATTTTCCATTATGCTGTATGACAAAGTACGGTCCTGAAATAATACACAATAACATTATTTGTTTTGCTTTCAAAAGGTTCGCCATAAACGTATTTACATGTTTGAATCTAAACAATCGGAATTAAGATCTAGAGTCGACGGTTATATCGAAGATCGTTATATTAAGAAAAGAACAAAAGAATTCGAGGATAATGTGATAAAGAGACCATAAAGTGTTTTGAAGCTTTCTCTGTTTAATATGTCATTTGAAGTAATTTATATTGATAAAATTTGTTAACATATTTCAATAACTTTTTTCTCTATGAAAGGTATATGAAAATGTTAACGATTATTTTAAAATCCAATGACATAATGTAGACAATACAAAAACGTTGTAATACCTTGGTTTGTCCAGTGGGATGCAAGGACTTCACAATAGTACCAACTGGAGTACTTTCAGATAAGGTAACATTATACCGCTGAAACTGAAATCGTAGTGTTTCATTTTGGGTTGTTGGTGGCGCTGCTCCATTTATATCAATAGCTAGTGTTGCTATACACCAGCGAAATGGGTTATCTGTCTGTATTGCCTGAAGAAAGGAAAATGTTAAAATTACACTGCCTAAAGAAAAAAAAGAGATTACACATTATATTAACTTTAGCAACTGAAAATTCTCTTTCATCTAATATCTAATCAAATTTTATGTTAAAAAAACCTGTCCTCGATGTATAAGATGAATACCTTCTAAAGGTAACTTTTAACATTTTTATAAAGTTTTTTTTAAATAGTTCAACTGTGTTCCTAAAGACTATTTCGATTATAGTAGAGACCGCGAAATATGACAAAACCCAGAATATTAGAGTACATTCAAATGGATAATTTGATTTGAATTTATAATTGTGATATGAACAATATGTGCAATGCTAGATACTCAGAAGTTTGAAAATTGAAAGTTGATGTAGAAACTGTACTCTTGCACACACACACACACAAAATGTTTTAAACATGACAAAGTAAAATCCCCCCAGTGATACTGCCTTGATATTTTTATTTTTTTTATAATTCCTAACGAATGAGAGCGTCAAACTTTTTGTCAGTGCTCAACATGTGTGCAAATGAAATTATTAGACGCTTCAACACTTGACAGAAATTATCATCTCTGTAAAATTCCATAAACTGGTTCTTTGAACTAAGTGCAGTTTTAATTTGAAGGGATGCAAGTTAAACTTACCATATTTAGCATTAACTTTTAATTTAAATTTTCTACTATCCTTTTTTGTAATTTGTAATTTTCCATTTTCTACTCAAATTAAATCACATCGATTATAAAACAAGTGACTAATATATTTCCGATTCCTTTTGAAAACAAAACGTAATAAAAATTTAATCATACTATGGTTGATTGTTTCGAATCATCACAACCGATGAAGTTTTGCGCTGCTCTATCAGCAATCATTGGTTAATTATGAAAACATGGAAACAGATGGTACTGTATGCTGAAGTAATTTTACCATACAGTATCATTGTCAAATGAATGAGTTGAAATAGTTTGGGTACTTTAGTATATAAGTATCATATAATGCGTAGATCAGGTACGAACATATTTACCTTAAGAATAAATCTGGTGTTAGCTTCACTTCCTAGCGGCCCGTTTACACTTACAATACCAGTCTGATCATCGATAGTAAACTTTCCTTTAGGATCTGAAAATGAATTGACAAATATCCCCATCATTCAATAGAACAAATAGACATATTATTACATTAGACTGGAATATAAGTCTCCTGTAAGTATCTTTAGTACAGTGTCAGTACTTTCTGGCTTCTTGAAGTAAGCAAAGTATTTAAGGTCTATTTACATTCATACGAAAAAAGGAACGACAGTGAAAAAAGAAAATACTATCTTTATCAACAAAAACATTCAATGACAAAAAATGTCAGTATGTATTTGTTCAAAACATATGTTCAAGTATTACCTGTTAACTCGTACTTCACGGCAGCGTTTAGTGTGTCCTGATCATAAGCTGAAACTGCTGAGGGTGAAACTGTGACCATTGTTCCCTGTTATTTAAAAAAAACAATTATAATTTCCACTTTTTGATCTTCTCATATTTACACTACTTTCTCCTTTAACTGTTAATAAATTTTTCTCATCTTGTTGCCAATAAACTTTAAAATCCATATCAAGGTATATTCAAAAACATTTTGTAAAATAACATAGATGATATGAAACTGTATGAATATCAGTCGAAACAAATGATTTAAATGTAATTGAAAAAAAACTTTACCGGGACTGAATTGCCACTAACAGTTCCAAAATACTGGTCGTACACAAACTTAGGGTTCAAATCATCAGCATCTTTAACGTTAATCCGTAATTTAACGGTTGAATTTAAACTGCTTCCACGAACTGGTGTATCCTACAAAGCATAAAATAATTAGTTTTAAATATGTTATATGTTTCCGTGCGTTTACAGTGGAAGATTACTCTAATAGTGTCTCCAGTATTAAGAACATTCCAGTATTTCTTTAAAAAAAATAATTAAAACATTATACTGGTATATATGTATGATCAAACCACAAGTATTCAAACATCCAAATAATTATAAAAGACATTAACAATTTGAAAATTGTGCTTTCATACAAGTAAATAACAAAATAAACAAAACAACTGTTTGTATTCTTTTACAAAAATATACAGAACTGTAATGGGTTTCGGGAATATTCTTACATGGATTTAAATATTGTGCAATTTTGTCGAATTAACAGCAACGATTATCGAAATATTTCATAATGTTAACAGCACTATTCATTAAAGAGAGTTCTTGTGCAAACGTTTATAAGAGAGCAACCTAACACACAACCAGTAAAAAGGCATACACGTATCAACATCCGTTTTACAATGAGGTTTCAGAGTCCATTCCATACACATGTATACAGTTATAACTAACCCGACAATAGCAAAATATATTGATGAATTCAGCAGAACAGACAGATAAAGCACTTGAAGTGGAATTTAAAGGAACGTATGGATTATTGTACAAACCTTTGCCATGATTTCTATTTCCATGTAAGTGGTATGTTCGAAATCTAACTTCTTTTTCAGTGTTATATCTGGGTATAATGGATATTCATATTCAAAATAATCCTGAAATATATTAAGTGAATGTTTAAGCAGTGTAAATACTCGATCACTAGTCGGTATCTTCGGAAAAATAAGAAATTAATTCTAAGAAGAAAAGTTCCGTAAAAGGAAGGAAAATTCTGCGGGTTTAAATCAATAACTATAAATGACACTAAACTGATTGTGTATCTAAACATCCTACGCATGTTGAAAATATATTGTACCTACCGAGAAAGGACCAGGTAATATACTGTACGAAAACAGATCATTGCCATCTCCAGATTTGTCATCGTCATGAGCTTTTGCATCTCTGAAAATTGTCGTACCTGGGACTGCATCCTGGAAAAATACATGTAACATTTAACAATGAATTATAAATGAATAGTAGTAAACAAATTTTCCTTTCGTTGCTCATCAGATAGTAAAGGCAAAAACGTATCAATTTGAATTTAGAGAGCAATTCAATTGCTCCGCATGCTGCTATCGTAAGTATGTGTATACTTTTAAAGGAACAACAGTTTACTAAATATTTTATTCGTCTAGGCGATTAGCAGATAGTGTTTCATAATTCACTACAAACGACTAAAAAATATTTCAATACAATCTGAAAGCTGTTTTATTTTGCGATGCACAACGATGACTGAAGTAAAGAAACATGATTATCTTAACTTCTATACCAAGGCAGTTTAGTCTTGTTGAATGTATAAATTCGCAACTACGTTCGGTCGGAATTGGATCGTTAAATCTGAGACCGATGCTCTTCTTTGGAAGATTGCCTTGGTCTGTACATAAAAAAAAACCTGTTCAGGAATCTTTAGAGGGTCTTCTTTAGACCGGATGTGTGACAAAATTACTGTCCCTTTCTACTTGTAATACAACTTTCCCATACTATATTCCAGGTCCATCAGTTGGCCAAAAATACTGTTTTACACCTCGAAAATTACTGACAAACAAACGCAGTTGCAAAAGTTTTTTAAAGGTCTAGCAATCTCTAGATATATAAAACTTGAATGCATTTTGTATTTCAGAAAGATAAAAAATCTTTGGGATTTTGATTTGCTTTTTTTCCGCTTCTTGCAGAAGGTGTAAAAATAAACTAAGTCTGTATTCAAGGTTTTTTTAGGTGTAAAAACAGCCATATTTTGTTCATTTGTTATGATGGACATATGAAATGAAATATTTGAAACTGATCATTAAGCAAATAACATGAATTAATCTATCTTTCACTGATACTAAGAGTTAACAATTTAGACTTTTCGTGTGTGTCTTTTCTAAAACACAGATTGTGTTTTGGTTATTTGCGTCATTGAATTGTTTTTTAATTGACGTATGTTTGTTCCTTCTAACGGATGTTCCTCTGGAATCTTTGTTATATACAATGCTATAATATCTGTTCCTCTTGGATCAAATATTCTATATCCATTATTCCGCCAGGAGCAAATAATGTTATCTTTCTTCCAGTGGGAATTCTATTCCAGACTATTTCTTCCATTTGGAATTAATAATATAAAGGAAATTATATTCCATGACACTCTCATCTCATTTGTTTCGTTTTTTTTTTAAAGTGAAATTGTGTTCAAGGAAGGCATGAATTGAATGCTTATGATATAATTAGTAAATCTAAGGAATATGAAGTTTATATTCATACGTATTATTATTCATTCTTGCACAAGGAAACACAATTAAAATCAGACAAATAAAAACACACCGAGAAAATACATGCACTGTGTCATTATGTTGTTTCAGGCTACATATGGTTTTATGCAAAATCTTCGGTCAGTGCATGGAAGTATTATATTGACAGGAACTCCAACAAACCGATTTCAAACGTTTATAGTGCGATGCCGCAAATTCGTTAAGTATCTGTTAATTAACTTGACATCTTTCAATTAGTCGTATCGATGCATGGGTTCAACAACGTTTTCGGGATACTCGTAATTACGGAATTTACCAAGTAACCGGATGTATACATAAATGTCAAGGATATGACATTTAACGACCATGCCAATATTTGGCAGTTGACAGTTTTTTACTAGGTTTTCTATGTTAATAAACTACTAGTATCGTCACTTACAAATATTTCACTAATCAGTATGGACGTGCACGATTTTGATGATGAAGAATTTGAAAAAATTATCGGTGAAGACATTGTCATTGAAGAGTTTTATTGCTTTTGTAAATCTGAAACTTGTTCAATAGAAAAGACAAAGGCTGTACGGTGACCTATAGTTGTAAACTTCTATGTCATTTGGTCTCTGGTGGAGAGTAGTCTCATTGGCAATCATATCACATCTTCTAATTTTTATATTGAATTCTAATAAATTTCTTTTGTAAGGAAACACATCATGAGTTGTAATCTGCATGTATAATTGAGGTTTACTGCTAACTTTGACAAATATCTTGTCGCATTAGTTACTGAAAGTCCGATGTCAAATATTTCATGCATTTCAACAAAAACAAAATATTATAAATTTCTAAACAAACGCTGCAAGATGTTTCAGATATGTTAAGCCTTTACAAATACATTTAATTCTAAACTGGTTAATTCTAATGATAAAATTTTAAGAATATACTGCTTAGGACCCAGCATTATGATAGTTCTTTAAATGCATCGAAATATTTAAAATTAAGCCATTATTTCCCAAAACAAGTCCGTCAGACGTCAGAGCAATCTCGGACTAGGTTGAAGGTTGTTTTAAACTTTTGAATTTATTCAAAAGGTGTACATGTAATCGGTGTTATAACCTGATACATGCTATATGAAGAGGCCATCACGTGCGTATAATTATCCACCTCTCTTAGTGTTTAAAACATTTTCTATAAATATGTTAAATTACATTTTACGATATTTTACGATAGAGAAAACCATAAATATTTGTGTTACACTCGATTAAAGTTTTCAATCTTTAACTTAAAATTTGAGTTATCCGGCACCATCCGGCACACTACACGCGCATCACATTATTTTCTGCAAACACTCTACTTCAGAGTCATGTAATTTTCATAACCGGATATTTCCCGATTTCCTAGTTCCAGTGATAAAAACATATCAAACAAAACTAAAAATAATATTACCTTCTTTCCGAATACAGTTAACTTTCTGTTGTCATTCTGTTAAATATGGACCGATTTTTTAGATTGTTTCAGCTGTAGTCTTTAATTATTGAACAGAAACAGGTGTCGTTATTCATGTAGCGATTCGCAATTAGCCACGGGAGTTTCCGTGTTAATTTACATTGGTAGGTAGATAAGACCTTCGATAACAGATCACGTGATAAGATCAGTTTCTGTAAACTATACAGGCGAAGGCGGCATCGCAGATACCCCACAAAGAAGTTATCACGTACTTCAAAAACTGAGTCGGAACCTTTTATTTTCCTAAAGAAATCAGTGGGATGCGAATGTGCTAATTTTTCGTTGGAGTTCCTGTCAATATAATACTTCCATGGTCAGTGTTAACAGTTTTAAAGATTTTTTTCTGTATTGTATAGTCTTTATAGTAAACAGATTTTCTATTTTGCTGCCTGCTAGATACATGTACTTACTTCACTTATGTTTACCGTATACTGATCTTGTGAGAAGGTCGGCGCATGGTCATTGACATCAACAAGGAGTACTCTTATTGTTACAGTCACCTACGAGGAGGATTAATATTAAGTATCGTGATTCAAGTAAGTAATGACAAAGCATCTTATACATTTCAAGGTAAACAAATAAGAAAATAGACTGCTCAATTATCCGCCTAATAAACATCAGGGTATGAGATATTTTTTTTTCATTTCTATCATAAAATCTAATTTTTACACAATTGGTGTTTTTCACACAATATTGCAAAGCAAGCTATGATTATTTGTGTATAGCTACTCTATCATATTTCAGCTATTTATATGAAAAATACCGTGATTGACACTAATAAATAAGGAACGAGTCGTGATTTGATCGTCATCCAAATTCATTACAAGTTTGTAGTTTATTTTTTTCGTAAAGTCAAAATAAAAAAGGACATGTACATAGAACATTTCGCAGCATCTGCTGAAAACAAAGAAATTAAATGTAGAAAAATGATACTGCTTAAAAGCTGTTTTTAAACGTACCATTAATTTTGCCAGTCTATTCAAAAGAAGAAATATCGTCCAAATACATTGACAATAGATATGAATAATTTGTATATTTTTTGTTCTGTATCTAGTGATAGGTATGCTATTATATGCTATTACAATGTCTACAAATCAATAAACTTGATTCGACATGAATATACTTCGTATATAATTTCTTGAAAAACATGCGACATTTTACCGTAGAAGAAAGTTCATCTTTGGGAGTACACGGTATACGCAGTGACAGGGAACTAGACCCTTTGTCTGTGTCTAGTTGTTGTTGTAATGTGATGTTCCTTGATGGCAGTTCTAGCCGAAGGTAATCATTGCTGGTTGGTTGTAAAGTGATCTCGTTCTCAGTGCCATAAGTATCCAATATACCTATTACAGAACCTATCAAGAAATAGAAATCCAAATAACAACTGCCTTGACAACCTTTCAGTTAAACCGACAATAGACACTTGTGCGCCTATATAGTGAAGCTTTCGTTATCTTCCATCGTAAACGACATATAGTAATAAGGGAAAGGAGGAACTTAACAAAACATGTTTCATTTTATGATCTCCTGTTCTATTAATACATAAGCTTAAGTTTAAGCATTGTATGGTTATTGCACAGTGACAAAAAATGAAGCGAGTAATTGGAGTTCAATAAAACTGCTAAGGAATTAAATTTCATTAAGGAAGATGTTAAAGTTTTCAAATTCAATTAAATTAATGCATATTTCATTTTCGTTCTTCGTATATAGACTTGTTAAAATATTAACGATCAGACAATGAATGATGTTTGACATATAAGTCTATCAAGCCAGATAAGTCACGTCTGACATAAACATTTATCAGGCTTTACCAGTATATTGGATAATTTGTCTTAACCAACGACAGAAAGAAATTCAGACATTACGGCAATAAAACAAAGAATTGTAATAACGACGGACAATGGACGATGATATAAAACACAACATAATAATCATGATACTAATGGACGCTAAACAATATTAGGCATCGCTTTTCTAATATATGAATCCTAGACACTCGCAGACAAATCAAACTATCGAGAATTTAACTATGGCTTTAAAGGATGTTTACTTAAACAATTTGTAGTCAACACAGTATATATAAAAGCACTCTGATACCTGCAAACATGTCTACTAAGAGAACTCTATTATAAACCCTGTATGTTATACTGGATACGCCAAGAAGTTTTCCTAGAGAAAAAGAAACTTCAGGTTAAAGTGAAGTCATGATGTATAAGATATATTTACCCCTTTTAAATAAACACTTTACTCACCAACAGGAGTATCTTCAGGAATGTTCCGAATAAAAGTTTCATAGCTACCAAAAGATATCGTGGTACAAGGATCTGTAAATAAGAATTATGATTTTAGATATTTTCAAAATGAAATATCAACACAATTTTTATGCAACAATACAAAACAAATAGCTTTCTTTATGTTTATGGTGTAAAGAAAACTTTAATAATATCATAAAATGTTTAGCTGGTTTGAACATTTCAGTGTTGATGCCCGATGTTTCAGCATGTTTAATAGTAAAAGTGCATCTTTATTACATTGTCCTAATTACATGTATATTTTGCAAGTATATAACATAAAATGAGTATAATTTTTGATACAACATATTTCAGGGAGGTTGATAATTTGCTGTAATGCTCTTCTTAATATGATTGGAAACATAAATATTTGCGAAGTATTCTATTTTCAGTAAAATATGAACACAATATATAAAATTCCTTTGAGTGAACCGATATTTCTATACGATATAAAATTGAGAATGGAAATGGAGAATATGTCAAAGAGACAACAACCCGGCCAAAGAGCAGATAACAGCCGAAGGCCACCAATGGGTCTTCAACGCAGCGAGAAAATCACGCACCCGGAGGTGGTCCTCAGCTGGCCCCTAAATAAAAATGTGTAGTAGTTCAGTGAAAATGGACGTCATACTAAACTCCAAAACACATAAATGAACTAAAATTTAAAAAACATACATGACTAACAAAGGTCAGAGGCTCCTGACTTTGGACAAGCGCAAAAATGCGGCGGGGTTAAACAAGTTTTGTGAGATCTCAACCCTCCCCCTATACCTCTAGCCAATGTAGAATAAAGAAACACACAGCGATACACACAATAAAACTCAGTTCAAAAGAAGTCCGAGTCCGATGTCAGAAAAGGTAACAAAAGAAACAAAGCAAAATGACAATGATACATAAATTAACAAAGGACTACTAGCAGTTATGTCCAGTTTTGCATTAAAACCATACTCCATTTCAACTTTGTTTGTTCTAAGTTGCTGTTTTATTTAAAGATGTTCTTTTTGAGATCATCATTATTTTATAAGAGATTCTCGTTAAGTCTAAAAGCTGAGAATTGTTTGAAGTTATAAAAAGCGACCAACTTGTTTAAGCATTTATTATGCATTCGTACACTCCAATGAAAGAATCGGCTGTTGCTTAACGTCCAGATGATTTTGTCCAACTGTTGATGAAACAGCAACCAAACAGCTCAAGTTTTCATTTAAGAAGTGTAACTTTCGGAGAAGGAGTTTTACTACTGTCAAATCATATTTATTTTCGCATGAAGGCATGTCTGTTTTACTTGCATAATTTTATCATTTGTAAAGATGTACTGATTTCTACCTCAGACTATTGAACTTTTGATTCTTCCTCTCATTATTGAACTTTTGTCTATCAACAAATCAAAATCCATTGTTAGGTTTTTGTTTGAAGTCATATCTTATCATACAAAAAATCCGATATACAACGAATCCTGCGGGGAAAATCAAACCGAATAAACGATGGTTTTATCATTAGACTCTATACTGTGAATTACATGGTAAATAATAATATATAAGCAGCATTTCATTATCGTAACAATAATACGGATGTTTCAACGTTTTCTATAGGTAGTGACAATATTTGATTATAAATACAATTCTATGCCAAGAATATAGGCTTTTCAGGTTTTTTATTAATTTTTGGCGTCTTACATCGGATAGTCTCCCAAAGACAAATTTCTATCTAGGATTCATTTCAAGAAAAGGTATCTTAACAAGCTATTGCCATGCTCTATTTTACCTATTCTCAAATGCATGCACATGCTAACATAAGCAATGCCTTCAATTTCTACACACAATACTCCATTTTTTATAGTTAAACTTGCAACTTAAAGAGAAGTCTATTAGAACAACAATGATTCGGATGGGGGTACCTTGCAACCATATTTTGTATACGTGATGACCTGGAGAAAATCCTTGACTGTCATCCCTATACTTTCTCATTTCATCCTTTTTAAACAAGATAAAGTGTTCTGTGACTCACTAGGTTAAATTTAGTTTCATGGGGGTCATAAATAGACTTTTCTGTATAATATGGCTCCAATTGGTATATATATTCTGTCCCTACACATATATAGCATATACAGAGATTCTGGTGTCTGAGTGGACTTCGTAACAGCATTCTGTGGAAATTATTACTTGTTTTACATCGTTTTATTCAAACAATAATGACAAAAACTTATCATATATCTCGCCGCCGTGACATTGCCCATGTAAACTGATGGGAGCGCTAAATCCGCCATAATTTAATTAATCAATCAATTGCAAATTCCAAGTTGTGTAAAAGAATTCTTATCAACTACAAATGGTAATAACTTTAACAGAAAATACGATGTAATAGTGCCATTGTAATAACTATCTCGTTTAATAATACTTCAATCTTAGTATATAAACTCCTGGTATGTTACTGTTCAAGCCATACAAAGGTTTCCAAAGCATATAATCTAAAATAAGTATGATGTGCTGTTAGTGTGATTACAGCATACAGATACTGGTTATAGGGTTGTAACATTCGAACTTACATGGGGATGGACAGTTCATACAAATTGTCGTGTCTGGAAAATAATTGTATAACAACAGAAATTATTAGATATTCTGTTAAACTTTTCCCAATAGACACCATTATCAAAGCTGAACATGACATTATATAATAGCCTCTCTATGGAATCATAAGAAGGTGTAAATAATGTTGATGTATCAATTACTGATTGATGGGAATTAATTCTCATAATGATAGTTAAGTGGCTTGATGTCAATTAGATGGAAATGTCATTTATAAGTAATGATATATGTATAGAACATTGATTTGTGACTTTATGTTTGACTTTGACTGATTCTTAAAATAGTGTAATAATTATGAATACAAGGAGGGGATGTAGGTAGGTATACGTCAATGAGACAGCAACCCAACGACAAATATAACATACAGAGGGCAACATACAGTTTCAAAAGACATGTGTCTATATGATATGTCAAGGTCTTAATCATCCCGATTTGATAAAAGTTGTGTATAACTTTAACAGAAACAATTAAAGACCTGCCATCAACAATGATGTATATTTTACATTATAATTTTACATAATATTTACAAGATTTATGTAATAACATCAACTGTTTTTTGCTTGTTAGTTTGTTTTGTACTCGAACGTTTCACGCTCAAAAATTTTGGACACATTTCCATTAAGATACTTTTTCAATCGAAAACAAAAATTAGAACGGTAAAGTAAGATAGATCATGTGGATGTTCGAGTTTCTTTTATTTAAGTATTTCTTGGTTTTGTTGTGTTTTTTGCTTATTGTTTCATTCGCATGTTCCCACACCTCCTCGTGTTGACATCAGAAAGACATGCGTTTTTTTTTAATGCAAACATTTCTAAGAGAAGGGTACATGTTTTCTCAAATTTGAAAATGAAACCTTCCATATTTTTTCTTTGCATCAATGCTTCTTGGTTGTTCAATAAGCTGAATTTGGTACCAAATAAACGCATAGATACATTTCTTCAATGAAATGTGTGCAGACAACTTTAAAACGTTAAAATGAAGCGACAAGTCAATTATCGTTCAATATTTGTAAAATATTAAAACAACATTTTGGTTACTAGAAGTAACGTCTATGGAACATTTAGAACTACTTAAGGAGCTTAATGTGTAATTCAGACGTGTATCTCTTTATCATCAATCACTGTATATTCTGTAAACGCAAGCAATCATTACATCTCATCAAAATGACGGGTTCTGTTTACTTATTAGAACGTACTCGCAAGGGTGATGATTACACTTTTGGACAGTATAGAAGCATCATGGTTTACATAATGTTTATATGAAAAAGTGTTCTTCTTTTTAACAAATCTAAAGAACCGTTCAAAATAAAATTATTTGCAAAAAAAGTATTTGTTCTTTCTTGTTTGGAATACAATGAAAGCTGATGTTCAAAGTATACTTTTAAGGCGAGAGTAAGGAATTTGTTACGATATCTATGAGTTAAAGAACATTTGCAAAAAAACTCTTTCAGGGTGTAGGTATTCTTTTCAAGGGCAAACATTTCTCCCTATTCCACACACCATCATTTTCCAGTAACAGTCTAAATGGTACCAACATTGATCCCAGTCGACCAAATTTACAAAGCCTATATAGATTAGATTTACTGTTAATTTGTTTTCGTCCTGAATATGTATTTGCCACTGACCGCCAGTCGTCCTGAATATGTATGAGTTATTTGACACTGACCGCCAGTCGTCCTGAATATGTATGAGTTATTTGCCACTGACCGCCAGTCGTCCTGAATATGTATGAGTTATTTGACACTGGGCGCCAGTCGTCCTGAATATGTATGAATTATTTGCCACTGACCGCCAGTCGTCCTGAATATGTATGAGTTATTTGCCACTGACCGCCAGTCGTCCTGAATATGTATGAGTTATTTGCCACTGACCGCCAGTCGTCCTGAATATGTATGAGTGATTTGCCACTGACCGCCAGTCGTCCTGAATATGTATGAGTTATTTGCCACTGAACGCCAGTCGTCCTGAATATGTATGAGTTATTTGCCACTGACCGCCAGTCGTCCTGAATACTAGTATGTATGAGTTTTTTGCCACTGAACGCCAGTCGTTCTGAATATGTATGAGTTATTTGCCACTGAATTCCAGTCGTCCTGAATATGTATGAGTTATTTGCCAATGAACGCTAGGCAATCTTCATATTGAAAGGTAAATTACAGCTGTATTTAGGTAAATATGTTCTTTTGTTCAAATATATATCATTGTCGTCGACATTTTTGGGTTTTTCACACAGATACTTGTCTCTGAAAATAAAATTACCTTTATACCTCTTTTTATAAAGGGTATATAGGATTAAAAAAAATCAGACAAGTGTGTATTGAAACAAGAGGCTCTCAAGAGCCTGAATCGCTCACCTGTATTTCAGAGGAGAAGATTTTTAAATGTTAGCAAACTTGATGAACAAATTGTGTAAAATTGTCTTTAAAGGGCAATAACTCCTTAAGGGGTCAATTGACAATTTTGGTCATATTAACTTTTTTGTAGATCTTACTTTGCTGAACATTATTGCTGCTTACAGTTTATATATATCTATAATAATATTCAAAAAAATAACAAAAAACTGCAAAATTATGTTAAAACTACCAATTCGGTGGCAGCAACCCAACAATGGGTTGTTCGATTCGTCTGATAATTTCAGGGCCGATAGATCTTGACCAATTAAACAATTTTACCCCATGTCACATTTGCTCTAAAAGATTTAGTTTTTGAGATATAAGCCAAAAACTGCATTTGACCTTTATGTTCTATTTTTAGCCATGGCAGCCATGTTTGTCGATGGATACAAACTTCGGATACAATTTATAAACTAGATGCCCTAAGGAACATTTAGTTAAAGTTTGAAGGTATTTGGCCCAGTAGTTTCAGAGGAGAAGATTTTTTAAATAGTTTACGACGACAGACGACGACGACAGACGACGGACGACGACGGACGCCAAGTGATGGCATAAGCTCACATGGGCCCTTCGGGCCCCGGTGAGCTAAAAAGGTATAAAGGGTTTTTTCACAGACAAGTGTGTCTATGGTATTTCAGCATACCACATACAGATCCTTCATTAAAAAGGTTGTTGCAAGGGTACTAGTACTTTATAAACACTGCGAGTGTTTCCGTTTCCCCAATGACCAGTTTAATTTAGTGTATCTATTAAAAAAACATATATACATATGCTAGTATATATCTTCATCTGTCACACTTTCCCAAACTAGGACAAATTTCTGTACGTAAGTTAAGTAAAAGAATAAACCGACAAAGACTTTCTAGTAGCTAAACGTCATATTAGAATGTAACATTAATTACATCAACTCACTGTCATGTGATGACAGTATACGTAATTTGGTGTTGGAGAACACAACTGTTTGACGCCATGATTTGTTCTCTAACAAGAAGAAACAGTCAAAATAGAAACTAAATACCGAATATAATGCTTATTTGTCAAGTGCTGATATATATTAACAGCATTCCAAAATGTCAATTATTCGTCTTGGTGTCACTCAACTTCAAGTTCATTCTTTGTAGACAGCTCTGTGAGTTCTATTGAGATACTCTAGGCTTTTATTATCACAAAGATATTATCTTATTTATTTTATATTTTTTTGGTTTTCAGAAACTTTCGTCTCAATCGTGCCTGTTGAGGGCTTTTTCAGAAATACGAGGAGTGCTTATGAAACAAATATCATACGGGGTTATGTGCTGTTGCCATAACTTAACTTAATGGTTCGGAAGTATACATATGTTAACAATGGATATAGTCTGGACTTAGTTGCTCAAATCAGTTGACCAATGAATAAAACCTGTCTACTGGATACAGGCTTAATTCACTGGTCAACAGTTATCCAGTGGATAAAAGTTTCAAGCAACCCAGTCCTGAGGTCTAACGCGCTCAATACTTGCTGACATCTCTTTCACCCAGTTTTTATGCATATTTCGTTTGTTAAGTCAGTTTCCTTTTTATTGAATAATTTGACTATGTCCCTCTCTTTTTTGTGTGAAAAAGTGTGAGCTTCAAAATATCAGAAGGCGAAGCGATATAACTAATGTATAGTGTTCGGATTGTACAAAACTGAGGGACAAAAAAAGAGGATACTGTTTTCAGGTGTAAATCACATTTGTATTTGTTATAAGCAGCGTGTAACGAGCAACACGACAGATGCCACTAGTGGAATAAGAACTGCTTTCCCTTCCGGAGCACCTAAATTTCACCTGATTTGGCGGTGTTCTTGTTGCTCAATCTTTAGTTTTCTATGTAGTGTTTTGTGAAGTGTCGTTTGTTTGTTCGTCTTTTTCTTGTTTGTCATTATGTTTTCCTTCTTTCTTTGACTTATAATGTTTGATTGCAGACTTGGTATATTCTCCTTTTTTTATTAGAAATACAGTTTAATAGACAATGAAATAACAACTTCATGAAAATTAAAGGTTCAAGCCTACTTAGACGAGTATTTTTTCCAGAGATTTTATTGTGAAAAAAGGCATATTTTGTAACTGTGTAAATGGTATTTAGATATACTTTATCTTATACAGGTTTCAATGTGCTGATATTCTCTAATTTTGATTTCAACACTGAGCTTTTTCAGGGTACAAGGAATTAATATTCCTTTCTCAGTGTACTTATTTCAAAATCAATGGATTTTTGGCCATTTTTGTAGGCGCCATTTTGACGTTTCAAAAAGTTGTTCTTTTTTTTTTTTTTTATCTTGGACACGTTAGTGGAGCAGATGCTTTTTTCACCTCAAGAAACAACTGAGTTCACTCCCTTGGGAGGTTTGTGTTGCTCAGTCTTAGTTTTCTGATCAATTTTTGTTGATTGATGTGTATTTGTTCTTCGTCTTATCTGTTCTAATGAAGGCCGCACGGTCTTGAACAATGAGCAAAACCAATACCGCAACTCTGACCGTAAAATATCTGTGAAAAGCCCCGGCATGACAAACTGTCAAAAACTGGGAAAACCAACGGTCTGAATTTTGCGAAAAAATAACATATACATTGTAAATGAAAATAGATATAGTAGACAGCAAAACAGGACAACCACTGAATTACAGGCTCCTGACGTGGGACAGGAACATAAAGAATGTGGCAGGGTTAAACATGTTTGTAAGTTCTCAACTCAAGAACATAATGTCAAAATCAGATGGATATTGCTTTACTCATCAAATCGGCACGAAGTACAGCAAATACATCTAAAAGACCAGAAAAACACAAATTACCGATCTAATTGTGCTCGCAGCAACAAAAACCTAGTTCAAAGTAGATTTCAACAAAGAAATAAACCATGATTTCAAAAACTGAAATATAGAATCAGTACACATCCAAAGGATTTAGTGTAAAGACTTCATAAACATTCTTATTGTCTCATTGGCACTCATACCACATCGTCTTATTTATATTAGAAAAGCAAGACCGAGTTCAATGCCAAAATATTAGTTTTGACAGGATGTAGGGCCAATAGTTTTTATAAAGCTGTATAACAATTTATATTTAGTCATGCTTTAAATAAGTTTATTTAAAGGAACAATATATTAAGCATACATGGATTGTAATTTAATTTACGGGCTCTATAAACGACACAGACGTTACAATTTCGATGTAAACTCCGTTTTTTTATAAGATAAGGTACAGCCAAAATATAAACGAAATCTGTTTATCAATGAAAGAATTGAGTAAAGGTTTTTTTTTAAAGAAATAAGCGGTAACGACATCCTTTACTTAATAATTTATCGAGTGATACATAGATTGTTTTCATTGAAATCATCATTACAGACAGGGACATAGCGAACAAAACGGAAAATATATACACCGAAAGATGGGTATAAGTGAACTGCATCCTTCAAAATAGGACAATTAACAATAAGGAACTCATCTCTTTTGCTGTAAATTTTTGTGTAGATTTTCCCGTGCGAAACTGAAATATACAAATCTAGCCCTTTTCAATTGAGAACATTCGATAACACAGTCGCATACTTTATCCGGGTAATGTCACTTGTACCCTTTCCCATGCAAAAGGTTGTGTATAATTTAATTGTTAAACATATCTTGTGCGGTATGTGCTACTCCTAATGAATCATCTGCGAGTATGCTGACACCATTTTTGCTTAATTAATAATAATTCTTAGCAGGGTTTGAAATTACGTCTTTAGTCACTTTTGAAATTGTTTCTAATATATATATTTTAACACTTTTCTAAATGATCTGACACTTATCGAAATAAGACAATATAACATACGATCAATTATGTACAAAAACGTTTCTTGATTTGTCTAAACATAACTGATCATGATTTATGTATTCAAATACAGATGGATCAGAACATTTACACCATGCAATGGTTAGCTAAGTGCCAGTCTTTTGGTGAAAGACAAATCAAAATAATGAATTCGATAAACCACTTAAAAAGAAGTGAAGCGCGTTGTATGCCTAACATTCTTCGTGTGCCTGTTCTATTAAAAGTCTAAGTCAATTATTATTGTTGTTCATGCTAATTGTTAAAATAACGTTTTTATGAAAATAACGTAGCCCAGTGTTCACTCGCCAAAAAGCTTCATAAAACTCTGTAAAAATAGGGCTTTTTAGAGGCAAAATACAAGCTCTAGGGTAGTAAAATTTGTCTGAAAATTTTCAACGAAACTACGGAAGTTTCAAAATTTGAGTCTCATTTTTTTTTTAAATAGCATGGTTACATATGTTTTTTTCTTCTTCAAATACATCATCTATTAAACCTTGCAATAAAACTCAAAATTACCAGAATGACATACAATGTGAAATTGGACCCACTTTCCTTAAACATCGATGTATCGTATTTTGACGTCTTGTAATCAATACAGTAAGTTGTTTCAATATATTACACATGTATAAATTCAATATTGAAAGTAATATTCGACTAACTAAGGTACCAAATATATATTGAAACGAAACGACCTTTTGATCAAAACCGATTTTAAAAGGCTGAAAAAATTAACAAGCAAGTCATGTTATGTCTTTTTGTAAATTTTTAAACATATCCACCAATGCGGGAAATCCACTGCTGTTAAGACATAATGCTTGCAGTCAATCCAATACTGTTCATTCAGTACCTTTTGTTTTGCATCGCTAAATTAACGGCTACTGGGAAGGATACAAATAGACTGATCTGATATTAATTTACCTTGATCGAAGTGTCTGAATAGTACTGAATTTATTGTTATGGTGGATATGTCGGAAAAACTAAACATGACTTATAAATTTATTGTTCAGTCTTTTAAGATCAAAATCCTCAAAAGTGGTTGTTTAAGACTAAAATTCTTTATAGTAGTCATTTTGATATTATCTGGAGTTTGCTTCCATTTAGTTTTTACCTGAAGTAAATATTGCATACAACGATCAACAATTTTCTCAATGTAAATACGACACACAGTTACTATATAGGAACAGCTGCTTTTAATATATCAAACAAGAAAAAATGCCTCTTAAAATGATATAAATTAATATAAGAAATTCATTTCCACCATTTTTGGATGATTTCCTGAAAGGTTGTTACAGCAATGTAAGATTTGACCCTTCACACATGCAGCAGATTTGATTTACAATTACTATTTGATAACTATTTCCTTAATCATATATATTGGATGACTTTATTGCATGTTAGAATCTATTATGAATATCAAGCTGTAACATTAACAACGATTTCTATTCAAAACACTCGAAGGGATTTGGTTTTTGTTTTCTTTCTTTCTTTCACAGAATGCAATTGCATTTAAATTTTGTTCTCAGCTGAATGTTAAGGTTATAGTCCAGTCCAACATTGCTTGCCGATGTATTTATATGCATTAGGACAATATAAATATTTGCTATCCTGTTGAGACCAATTTTTAAATCACAATTATTGACTGGACAAGTAAACTGGTTATTTAATCTTGTTTATTTGGACTTTTTAAAATATTTAAATTACTTTTCTATCTTAAATACGTTTGTAATCTGATCGTGAATGTTCACATAATATACACAAAATGTAGATTATATCAAAACTACTATACAAAAGAAAATATTGACGTTTAAAACGTTACATTATATTAGAAGAATGCGTGTTTTTGTTATCAATCAGTAGGTGTCCTTCCAAAACATTTTGGCCTTGGTTCAGCCATTATATTGAATGATCAAGTGCGACATAGATTTGTAAAATTGCAATTATATAAATTCTATATATATGTTCACTATGTATAAAAGTTTGAATTTAGAATATTGACAAAACCAATTTCGATGCATGCACTCGTCATTTTGAAAACAAATAACCGTAGCATAAATGATGACCAATACATAAGTAAATAACATCTTTTTATATCGGACTGCTTTACAATTTTACAATGTTTATAATATCGTACATAATTCACATTTAAGTTCTGAGTGAGTTAAATGAGATGAAAATAATTTGACTTACCCGTTGCTTCTATCTGAATTAGAAATCCTATCAGACTGAGACAAAACAAATGCCCCTTCTTAATCCTCATAGCTAACTGAAAAATAGATAAAATTTTGTCATTCCTCATAATTTTTAACAAATTTGTATAACTTTACACACATTATAAAAGCCAATTAAAATCCGCTGACTCAATTTTCCTGGAAGTTAAATAAACATTGAGCAGCGTAAACAAAACAATTTGGTCGAAAGGCTAATTGTTCTGTCTGAATAACATCTCCGATGCCAACAACTTATTCCGAAACCTTAATTAATACACACATGCTACCCTGGTCCAATCAATCCAATATCCTAACTGGCTTCTTCATCACAAATGTTCAGTCAAATAGTTGGACATTGAACGTTTCTTAAATAAACGAGCTTAGTATACCATAGAGATGGATAATATTGGAGCGTTCTGGTATTTTACTAAATATTAAAAGGTTTATTCGGGTGAAAATTAAGTGGATTGACTCTACCGTAGTATGTACTTGGTAACTTGACTTGATTTTATACATATGAAAAATGACACAAGCTGACAATCGGAACATCTACGCTTCAGTGGAAACTTACAGGAGTGTGTATTACAAACATATCTTTTTCCGCGACAGTATAACAATTGATGTCAAATCGATCATATTAGCAACAATCAGTGTAATTAATTTTAATCTGTAAACTGCATCAGCAAATTATTTTTCAATAAAATTGATGTGTTGGCGATAGAGCACGGAATTAGGAATCGGGAGACCAGCTATTTGACAAGAAAGGTTAATTGTCGATTTCAAAGCAAAAAGAAAACTTTGACTAATGGTAGAGAATGATAACATTGAAAAATCAATTACTTTATTGCAGGGATATGCCTTTCTCATGGCATATCTAAAGCGTGCATTTGAAAAGTAGAATACAGCACCAGGGAAAAAATTAATAGCTCCAGTCGTCAGAAGAAATGTGATTAGAGTTAATTAGGCAATGAAATTACATAATTTTCGTTATAACAATTGTAGTATAGTTTTCGACTTTAACTAAAAGCACCGATTTTGGCTCAATACTGGGGTACTAATGTTTCACCAATCTGCATTTGAATTGATGACACGCCCAGTCTGAACTCATAGCAATAAATAGAAATGTGCAAATCCATCGATTTGATAAGAATTATAACTGATATTATATGATGCATGTGACGCAACTCCTTTAAAACCCTTTTTCTTCGTAAATACATTCCCAATCACTTAAAAGTCATTTTTTTACGAGTTGATAAAATACTATCTACCCGGAGTTGCTTGTGGCTATTTTATTTTCATGTTTACCAGATCCAGCCGAGATGAATTCGTTTTATACACATTAAATTATTAGATTTGCTTGTCCAGTAATGGTTAAATAAAATAAATTGTAATGTTTTATTTCGATATGTGGCTAAAAATTTATATGATAATTTTTATACGTTTATAACATTCGTGTCTGGCGCCTGGTAAAACAGTAACGTCTAAATATATGTTTATTCTATGGTTTAAATCTCTTTTGTGTCGCAAACGTCTCAAGTGAATTTAAAATTCACATGCATGGACAAGGAACGACGCGAGGAAATAATTCGAATACTCCTTTCCTTTCTTCAATGATTTTTTTTTTCAAGAATGTATACCCCAAGAATAGACTGGTGTATAGAAATCATAATTATCCCTTTGTTTTCTTCTAGCAGACAGCAAAACCTTTCCCAAAGTAGAGTGTCCGTTTAGTTGTGCGAGATGAATAGATTAACCTTCAACGTTTCACTTAAAGACCTCTTGCAACAACTCTTTGAGGGGTCCGTAGTTGACTTGTTGCACAGTTAAATTCCTGTTCCTATCCAATATACCTTTATTTTCCAGTGTCATTCAAAATTTTCCCGCCCTTCATCTCGGTCGATTACCTTGCAAGACCTACTTAAGGTATTTACTGTCAATTTGTTCTGTTCCTAAACATGCATGAAACATTTGTCACTGACTGCAAATCAATTACTCATCACTAGAACATTAGAAGCTTTAAATAAATGTTCGTACAAAATGCATTGTGCACCCAATTAATTTTTATACTAACGTGAGGTGTTATCAGTGTCGTAAAAATGTCATTCTCTTTCTAGTCCTATCTCATGATAAGTATACAGATGACATCCCCTTTAGTAATGTATTATAAACCACCTATGATTTCAGATGACATCCCCCTTTAGTAATGTATTCTAAACCATCTATGATTTCAGACTGAATTAATTCAGTATTTGGTTCCATTGAGTCTTTCTAGTATTTCATTTTTGATCAGGATGAGTTCTAAGTTTTTTCATGCCGAATATCTGACGCCATTATTATCCTCATTGTTTTCTTTCAGTGGAAATACCGATATGTGATTTTCATATGACGTTTGCTCACACCCACAGAACACATTCTCAGTTTGCATTTACAAATTCTTAAATATGTCATGATTTTAACTGAATCTCAGTCTTATAAAAACAATTCAAAATGAAAAGGCCAGGAATAGACAAGCTGATACAAAAGGAGACAGGACCAATAATGGAATCATTGTTTAAATACACAATGCAGTTTCATTAATTCACGTTTCATAAAAGCGAGGGGAAACTGATCATAACTGAAAGTTGCGTAATTACAGACCAATCAATCGATTCAAATAACCCTTTCTTCCCTTTGGTGTTAGTTTCAATTTCTGCTGCTTTAGGTAATCAATTATATAATCCTTCTTTATGAAAAAGAATAAATTGGAAAAGGTTGTACGCCACCTACTTGGTTCCCAATAGTATTTATGACATTTGGTAGAACGACTTTGAGCTTTACTATCGCCATTTCTTCAATTGCAAACGCAATTTTATGTCTTTTGATCGTAATGGAATTTTAACCAATAGAATTCGTATCAATATTAATTCAAACGTATAAAAGATTCTTCACATATAAAACCAAACATCTAGATAAGCGAAAACAGATCATGTTGCTTTATCGGTCGTAAACGATTATCACATGCAGTTTTTCCAGTCAGTAACACTCTGCATTTTCCAATATTAGGATAAGCTATTTGATCTGCTATATTCCCACTATTAATAAAATAATTAATTACTTTTGTTGATAGGAAGTATGGTTTGGAATCAGAGGATCGAGAAATCGAAAGCAATGTTACCATGTATCCGATTACAAAAATCAAAGATCGTATTACAGCAGCGTGCTGTTATATTAAAGTGTACTATTCAAATATCATCTTCCAGAAAAATTGGTACCGTTAATGTTATTCCATTATGAAACTTCTATTAGGTTAATAGTCAAATACCAGGTAGAATATGTAATTGGAGTTACTTTCTAAATAGAACAGTTAGTCGTAACACATTTGAATACACAACTGAAATTTAATACGGATAATATAAAAATAAGGAGATGTGTATGATTGCCAATCAGACAACAATTCCCCAAAAGACCAGAGGACAAGGATGTAAATAACTACATGTCACTGTACGGCTTCAACAATGATCAAAACCCATACTGTATAGTAAGCTATAAGCGGGCTCTGGGTGACAAAATATGAAGGAAAAAACACTTCAGGGAAAGCTAACCGTCTGATTTATTACAGGAGAAATAAACCATAAATCATCATCATCATCATCATCAAAAGTGCATATTAACCAAAAATTGAATAATTAGAAGACTGGAATGTGGACTGGCTACCAAATCTTAAGATTTAATTTTTGAGAACACAGTTGTAACCTCTTTCGTGTTCTAGTTTCAATCCGTCTGACACTTAACGCGACATAAATTTAATAACGTCATTTACAACTTTATATTGTCACTAAAATCATACTCAGAACTTTAAAAAACCAATACAAAATTATTCCAATTTTACATTCAGGTCATTTTAGGAAGGACATTTTCTCACAAGATATTTTACAAAAAGGGAAAAATTGTTTTGAGAGAGAGTGAAAAGACTCGTACAAGATATAATTAAATTCATTGATGCTCTCGCTATCGTATGGTTTATGCTCCATTTTTTAAAGATAAAATAATGTAACATGGCAAACAAAGAAACAAAATCATTGCAATTCTCATAAAACATTGACGTTTCACCACGAGAGAATTATTACAGGTCTTGTAGGGAAAGAAAAATGACTTACATAACTCAATGGAGATGTCCAATTTCATAATCCACAGTTTGATGTCCGAAACAAAAATGCGTAAAACTGTAACATTGATCAAAATTAGTTATCAGCTGTCAAAAGTGATTTTGAGTTGATTCATAATATTGTAGAAGAATGATATAGTTGAGGTTTGCGTGTACCAATTATCTTGACTAAGGTTTTGATATTTTCGATGATGCTGGTAATTTTTGCAGCAAGGCTGAGTCTAGTCCTGATATTTTTTCTAGCCGGTCCAATTTGAATACTAAACTAAACCCTCCTTCTTGAATTAATTGTGAAATGTCCACATTTTTTTGTCAAAAGATTGACCGATCAATAGTACTGTTAATCAACAGTCGTATAGGAATACCTGCTTATCCTAACGAAATATTGATATATAAAGTTATTTAATGGAATATGTGGTTAAATAGATACTTAAATATATCATACAGGTGCAAGTTATTCGATTTCTATTGATCAAAATTTCATTAAGAGAAAATTAACATCTCAGCTGGGATAATAAGCACAGTAAATATTGAATGGTTTATTGATACGTTTTTATATATCCTTACGTTGAGAACTAGAGTGTTTAAAGTGATATTAATTGTTGCATTTTAGTCTATTTTCAGCATTGGAGAAGTAGGGGTCATTGTCTAAGATCTTCCTGTTTGGTGAGAAATAAACCTTTAACTAAGGAAAAATTGTACGAACAAAGTAATCTTCCTTATCTTTCTGTTGTTTTATTTGCTTACAGTTCGAACTGCCTTAATAATAAAGAATGGTGGAAAAATCATTGCACTTTAAGCTTGAATTATCATGACGATATGGTAATCTGTTAAGTACTTTTGCAGTAATAGGTTTATGCTAATTTATTTTTCTTTAATTTTTTTTCCTGATAGTGCAAAGATATGGATCAA